TTCTGTAATCCTGGTCACTACCCAGCCAACTTTGATTTTCCCGGCTTCAAGTAACTCTTTAGCAGTTTTTGTTGGGACCGATAGAGTTGCAGTTTGTGTGCCCGCATACGCCTTCCTGATTGAGGTGACTGCTTCCTTCTTGATATTTAGACTACTAAAGCTCGTATTTATGGCAGCTATTAAATCATCCGCTGAGGTAACTTCATCCAGGTCCTTAAATTCGATCTTTGTCTGCTTGGTCATTAGTTTAACAATAGCCTCCTGGCCGAGCGCTTTTTCCACTAATTTCTGGTAAGCAGAGTTTTCTTCCTTCGCAATTTGCTTAAACTCCAGCAGCATTTCTCCTTTCAGTGTCTTCCGTATTCTCGTCACATTTTCGCCGACTTTTTGCAGCTCCCCATCATTTTTAACTTTTTTCAGCATATCGCTGTATGACATAGTGCCCGTTTGCTTGATTACAATTGCATCCGCCCTGTTCACCAATTTGATTGGCTTGACCTTTCTATTTTTTGTTTGGACCACGGTCCACTCTTCATTTCCGCATTTTGATTGCTTTGGCTCCTCCTTTTTGGTACTTATCCCATCACCGGCCCGCTTACTTTTCTTCGCAGGAGTAGCATCCGTGGATGCCTCCTCTCTCAGGCTTTTCGTGGAGTTTACTCTGCCCCTTTTTTCGGTCTGGGTTGTGCCATCTCTGACCGCTTTTTTTGGCATTTTATTCCCTAACTCTTTTGCGGCTTTCTTATGGAACACAGCTAGCATGTCCACCAAATCTCTCATCGGCTGATGAATGGTACGCCTAGCCGGAGCAGAAGGAGCTGGGGCCATCATTTCGATGAGTTCTCCAATTTTCTTTTCTAGCTTGACAAAAGAGTTTTCACCTTCTCTTATCATCAAAGATTCCTCCTGAAGGATCGATGGAGAGGACTGACTTCTCATTTGCGTATGTTGCCCGGCGATTTGCTCAGGTGAGCTTTGGATTCGAATACTTCTTTTGAACGGATCGGGTAACACTTCCGGATTATCCCACGTGGCGCCTTGTGCGCCTTGAGGTGTCCCTTAATTTCCGGTTTTCGCCGGCATAATTTTCGTATTAGTGTTATATATGTTAAGCTATGTGTATATGTAGTTATGAATGTATGTATATGAGAATCCCTCTTACGTTTGTTTGTGTGGATGTATATATCTATGTATAAGTTCGTGTGCGTATGTTCGTGTGTGTTTATTTTAATGTATTTATGTATATCTACTTGTGTATGTATATGTTTGTGACGTCCTTGTACGCAAGTCCGTTTCTTGTGTGTGCAGAGTATGTTTCACTATGTATGTTTTTGTCGTTGGAGGTATTTTCTACAAATTTTGCACTTACTTTATTGTCAATCTTTTCCCCTCTGAGGCCCTGGGTCGGTGTAGGGTTGACCAATACTGCTTGTTAAATTAATGTCGCCCTCAGCTATGCTACACTAAGCTATTCCATGAAAAACAAGGAGTAAGTCTGTGCTATTACGTAATATTTTAAACCTTTCGCAGATGCACAGGGTTGCTTTAAAGCAGCAATAGATGGCATTGTCCTCCCGCGATTTGCTCACCTTCTTTATTTACCTGGGTGGCACTGAACGACCCCCAAATAAGCATGAAAGCGGGCAAATTCACAGAGAAGAAAAAGGGAGAAAAAAATAAAGAAAACGAAACCTGACCTGTCACTTTCTATTTTAAATGCCTTTATAACTAAATAAGACGCTCAAAAGCACTATCACTGTTTTAATTATCGTTTACTTATCTTTCCGATACAAGAATTCCACTCTAGGATAATTTTCTGATAACAATCGCCTATGATATAAACGGAGCACTTTCGAACACGTCCGCGCGCTACGAAATCACAACGGTCAAAAAAACTATAGCTTCTGTGTATGTTTGAGCTCATGTGAGTGTGCGTGTATCCTACTGCGTTCATACCGATTCGATTTTACTTAATTGTATAAGTCGGGTTGTGTTCTTCTACTTATGTTTTAATACAGATTGGGTTCTTAAACCTATGCTTTCCACATTTGAATACTTATTTACATTTGAATACTTATTTGCATTTGCCTACTTATTTACATTTGCATACTCATTTACATTTGAATACTTATATCTGCTGTTAAGCATTTTGAGTTCTTACTTGTGTTTATACTTTTGAGTTTTTACTTAGCCCTTCGTACATTTGAGTTCTTAATCCTGCTTGCATACCTATTGAGTTCTTGAATCTACGCGTTTATATCTTGACTCATGCTTGTTTACCTATTGAGTTCTTAAATCTATGCTTTTATACATTTGAGTTCTTGACTTATGCTGGAGGAGGTTGTTCATGCTTTTTTACCACAGACAGACGTTTACGGACAGCTCGGACTGACAGGTGGTTCGCTGTGGGTAGCTATTTCAGGCGAACGGACTTGTATTCCGTAAGGAAGCAAAATCGCTTCCTTACAGTATGCATGAAGGAATAAATTTATGAATCAATTTATGAATGAATAAATGGATGAATGAATGAATATATGGACGGATAAATGAATGAATTAAGGTATGAATGAATGTGTGAATAAATGAACGAATGTATGAATGAATTTATAAATGAATGAACGAATGAATGCGTGAAAGTATGAATGATTGAACGAATGAATGAATGAATGAATGAGTGAATGAATGCAAGAATGCGTGAATGAATGAGAGAAGAAATTAAAGAACGAATGAATACGTGGATGATTGAATGAATGAATTTTAAGGAAGCGTTTTACTTCCTTACTAATAACAAATCTGTCCGAATAATTGTCTGTTCGTAGTACGAAAGATTCCTCACCTTAAATTCTAAAAGCAGTTGGCCAGTCTGTCCGATCGTGCGCTAAATTTCAATGAAATTTCATCTCCTTAGTGTAAGTGAGGAATAAAGTTGTGTAAAATATCATTTGATTGATGTTCGTATGTTTCTGTACACTGTTGTTATACAGTTCCTCTCTCTTACAAACGTACGGTAATCTAGGTTTATTTATAGAAATAAAACAATAAAAAATAGGAAAAAAGCGCTTTGTTTTAGAAGTAAGCAACATACTTTGTACATATATCCCCTTAATTATCTATGTCTCTAAACATATGTCGGTTTACTTTTTATTGATTTTAATTTATCCATTTATTCAGTGATCTTAATAGAAAATCTTATACTAATTGTTTTAAAACTAGTGTACAATAAAAAGGAAGAAAAAAGAAGAATAATAATAACAAAGTAAGTTGAAAAAAAAAAAGAGAAAAAAGATTTATAACGATACATTTACGTTTGTATAAATATATGCGTATCAATCTTTTCCCAGGAAACATGTTAAAATTCTCTTTTTAAACATGTTGCAAACATTTCAGTAATATGCCTATTATTAAGTGGACGTCACATACACCTATACATTTGTTTTGCTTCTATATATTGTAAGGAAGCGTTTTGCTTCCTTACTGATAACAAGTCCGTTCGCACAAATGTCCCCAAGTAGTCAGTCTGGTTGGTCCCTTACATGTCTTTTTTTCCTTACTGATTAACATAATATCATCCTTCTCCCGCGCAAACCGTTGACAATTCAATATGTATAAAAGAAAAAAAAGGAAATTGTATACAAAACTCATTATATACTGTGTCTTCAGAAAATGTGCCCAGCCATAAAATGTATGTAAATGTATAAAATGTATATATAGTAGAATATATATAAACAATATGCATAAATTTTTACCTAACGGGGTATGAAATCATACGATTTGGTACCTAGATTAGCAATGACAATAAAACAGACGTAAAAATACGCATACAAGCAATAGGCAATAGGGAAAAGGGTTATAAAATTACGGATGGTATTATATCATATTAACGCATTTAACGGTTCTGCGGCTTATAAAAACATGTTCGATCAGACTTAAGTTAGCATACAGATGTGTAAGAATATCGTCACAATGCATAGGTAAGTGAGCAAAGTCTAAAACATGCATGTAACGGTACAGCGATGGTGACCGCAATTACCGTCGAACTACGCCCAGCCCTTTAGTTGTGTGGCAGCACCAAAAGAAACTCGCGATAGGGAAACGTGGAAAAGTAAATATAATAATAATCTTTCGCAACGAATAAGAAATATTCAAACGTCAAAGAAGAGTCGGCTCACCTCGCTGGTTTTTTTTAGAAATAAATAAAAACCGAAGGTCGAAGTTTTTTCAATACAAATTTTCTTGGAAAGATTCCTGGATTGGCTAAGTATACCCTGCCCAAGAACACTCGTTACAATATGTAATTATTTAGCTTAACGCTCATTTTTTTTATTAATAAGTTACAGCCAGTTATTGTTATTATTTAAGGATTCAAGGTCGCAAATTTAATTCGTTCCCATATATATGATGATATATATATATGTAAGTACCATACATATTATGCAAGGGCAAATAAGCCACAATCCTCAAAGGGTATTACGAAAGTCTTCTAACGTAGGATTCTGCGACTCTAAATGTATTATGAATTCAGCCAAGTCTTTATCGTTGATGCCTAAATGATTGTCCAATTCAGTGCACCGTTTGGAGACGAGAGAAAGGTGTTCGATTTTTGACCTTCGAATTTGGTCAAAAAAAAGGAGAAGTAAATGAGCGAACTTCGAATTTGGTCAAAAAAAATTAGAAGTAAATGAGCGAACTTCGAATTTGGTAAAAAAAAGAGAAGTAAATGAGCGAGCCAGAATTACAACTTGTTGCAATGTATTTGAACTTCGAATTTTGTTCTTTAGAGAGTAAGTAAATGAGCCACCACTTGTTAGAATGTAAATATTTTATGTGTTATATGAACACCCTAACATACGACATATACGCAAAAACCGAGAATCGTTTTCAAACTCTGACAGCTTTGCACGGTTCATACTAGTCCAGTCAGCCAATATAGAAACTATACGCAAAGCATGCTTGCGCGTTAGAGTACTATTGTTTTCCGCTAAAGCTAATAATGATTTTACCGTTTTAGCGTTGATTATTTGCTCGTCAATCGAGGGTAACGAGGGAGAAGTCGAAGATAACTTTGGTTCTGGCAAAATTCTCTCTTTAGTCGAATCATCTTTAAGGTTTTCAAAAGCAGCGGCAATTAGTTTTCCTAAAATAATTCTTTCTATAGTATAGAATTATAGTAAATATAATGACGCCATACCTTTAGGCCTTTTAACCGGCTCATCTCCTTTAGTTTCTACTTCTACCTTATTTGTGACCTTATTTGATTTGTTACCTTGTGTAGCTTCCTTTGTGGCAACATTTGTTGACGATCTTAAAGCATTGCCTGAATAGGTGGCTTTTCGAAAAAATTGAGTAGCCAGGACTATAGCATAACGTTGTAAACCCAACATTTCTTACGTCTTCGAAACCAAATCTAGACAAAAGGAAAAAGACTAAGTTTACATAACCTGGTTTCAAAGCACGTAGTTTATAGAAAATTTGTTTTGGCGTTTTCAAAATAACTTAAGTTTTTAAAATATAAATTCGTTCATTCGTTTAGTTAACTTTAGTGTATATCAGCGCAAAGCTTGGCAGCTAGCACAACATCTTGGAAATTTAAGCTAGCCATTGCGTAACAACGTCAGCATACTGCTTTAAATCTAATTGCTCATTAGCGCTGCTGATATTAAAAGCCAAAGATCTCAGCAACGGTGTACTGCGTCGCCTGCGAACCGCTAAAGTAGTCATAACCCGCACCATTTGCGGCACACTAATACTGGCTATCAGTTTAGCAGCTTCGTCATCACCTGCCACACCCAAGACCGTGTTCAAATCATCTGTTCGAAAGCCATCTATTTTAGCTTTATTTTCGCTATTTTTGGTAGAACTATTACTATCTTTCGGCACACCTTATATGATGTAAAGAAATTGATGATTTTAATGTGTCCTTTTACGATGGTGGGCATAAATATATCATTTAGATTCCAATATTAATTTAAACAATAATAAGCATAAAAAAGTACTTTCAAGGTGAATAAAAGTGAAAATAAAGGTACATTCAATTAAATGATGTACTATAAACATAAACACTCAAAAACTTTTACCATCCTGGGGGTTTTTGATTAGGATATCCACACTGATGACTTGCCAGGGTATGTGCCATTTCACTTCTTCATGCCAATGCAATATTTTTAAAACACAAAAGAAAACAATAAAAATTAAGCGCCATTGCTTACAAAAATAAATGTATGTGTATATGTAATCGTACCCTAGCGAAATCAAAATGTGGTTCATAATGGCCACCTATACCGTAATTAACTACTTGCATCTCTTCGGCTGATAACATATCCAAACCAGTCATATCTTCGGTACGTTGGACAATGTTGGCTACAATCGAATGTTCCTCGATTTTCAACCAAGCCGACTTACTGATCCGATAATTTGCCGTTTCCAATTCACCAGTTATCGCATTTTGCATATATTCCCTAAAGCGACATTAGATTATACAAATACATGTTCAATTATTGAAAAATGTAAACAAACATATACGCTTATTCTCAGATGGTTGGCATTTTTATACAAATTACTGAGAACATATACGTAAAGAAATGTGTGGTATTAATTCATGTTTAAAATGTAATAAATGCCAGATATTCAGGTGAATTTTTTAATATTCACATATAATCGGCAGCAAAAAAAAGAAGAAAAATCGAAAAGAAACGAATTCAACGTAAACTGATAACAGTCCTTAACCGTCAGATATATGCTAAACAGCAATTGCATGCAACGGTTGAATTTTATGAGCCCCGTAATTTCTCAGCATGCTCAGCTTAGCCGTCATCCCTGAATAACAGATAGGACTACTAAACTTTACGGATGGGGGATGGGAGACTGTCGTCATCCCTGTCGTGAATGAAAGAATGAGGAATTAAAAAAAACAATAAATGCGTGGATGCAAAAATGAATGAATAAACGAATGGATCAATTAATGAATGTGTGATTGAATGAATGAATAAATATAAATATGTAAATAAATTACTAATAAAATAAAATAAATCAATTAATTATTTTTTGGGTTAATTAGAACGAATAAATGAGTGAGTTTAAGAATTAATAAATTAATCTATGGGTGCATAAATGGATGTATGTGTTAATGAATGAGTGAATGAATGACTAAACAAATGCATGAATGAGTGAATGAATGTATGAAGAAATGAATGAATAAATGTATGAAGGCATGAATGAATAAATGAACGATTGATTGAATGTGTGAAGGAATGAATAAACGAATGCGTCAATAACTATATGAATGAATGAATGAATGCATGAATGAAAGAATGAAGAAATAAAAGAACCAATGAGTGAGTGGGTGAATAAATTAATAAACAATTGGATCAATTAGGGAATGAACGTATGAATGAATATATAAATGTAAATAAGTAAATTAATTAGTTAATGAATAATTCAACAATGAATGAATGAGTGAATAAATGAACGCATGAATGAATTAATGTATGAATAAACGTATTAATATACGAATGATTGAATAAAACAAGGATTGAATGCATGATTGAATGAATATATGAACGAATAAATGAATGTATGAATGTATGAATGAATGAATGAAGGAATGAACGAATTAATCAATAAATATTTGAATTATCGATGAATGAATAAACATCTGAACGAATGTATAAACCAATAAATGAATGAATGAATTAACGTATAAATGTTTGGTAAAAAGAGGGAATGATTGAATGTATGAATGAATCAATGAATTAATTAATTAATGATTGTGTGAGTGAGTGAATGTATGAATAAATGAATGAATATATGAATGAATGCTTGAATGAATAAAGGATTGAGTGAATAAATGAATGCATGAATGAACGAAAAAACGAATAAATGAATGAACGAATGAATGAATGGAAGCATGAACGTATGAATGAATGGTTAGTTTAATGAATGAATGTATGAACGAATGAATGGATGAATATGCGAATGATTGACCAAAACAACGAATTAATCCATATATGAACGAATGAATAAACGAATGAATGAATAAATGAATGAATTAATATATGAATGTTTGGATAAGAGCTGAATGAATGAATAAATGAATGTATGATCGAATGAATGAATGAATGAAGGTATGAATGAACGAATGAATTTATGAATGGGTAAAGGAAAGCCTCAAGGAATAAATGAATGAATGAATGAATAAATGAATTCGTCAAGGAATTAATGAATAAATGTATAAATGCACGGCTGATTGAATATGTGAATGAATGAATGAATGAGTACGTGAATGAATGATTTGCGTGAATGAATGAAAGAAGAAATGGATGAACGATAAATAGAACAATGAGTGAATGAATTAATAAATTAATGAACGAATGGATATAAGAATGAATAAACGCGGATGAAACAATGGATTAATTAATTAATTAGTGAATGAATAAATTAATAAACAAAAGAATTAACGAATGAATTAAAGAAGAAGTGTGTGCATGAATGAATTAATAAGTAAATTAATTAATTAATGAACGAATGAAAAAATGAATGAATGAATGAGAGAATGAATGAATGAAGGAATTTGTGAACGATTGTATGAATGGCTAAATGAAAGTATGAATGATTGAACAAAGTTATGAATGAATGTATGAATGAATGAATGAATGAGGGTATGAATGAATGTATGAATGAATAAATGAGTGTATTTATTTATTTATTTATTTACCTATTTATGCATTGAATTCAACTAAAAAAAATTACAGTCGAATGCATTTTGATAGAAAATCTTATTTTGTTGAAATTTGTTTTAAAACTAGAAAGAAAAAAAAGGAAGAAAAAACAAAAATAATAATAACAAAGTAAGTTTAAAAATAAATTAAAAAGTTAAAAGTAATAAATAATGTATAAATAAATAAAAAGAAAAAAAAAAGGATGTACACAGCTAGATTAACAACACAATATTATTTTAAATAGAAAATGAAATATTAAGAATGAAATATTAGTTAAATCACAACATAGGTAAATCGAGCATATTAAGCAAATATGCTTTAATAGACTTTAAGGAGTCTGATAATGAGAATAAGTGATAGACATCATTCAGGTTTCTGCAAAAAACTGTGAGCGGGTTAAACATTTCATAATTGTATTTAGATTAAATAAGCTTAAATAAGATAAAGTGCCTAGAGAAGCGGTTAGGGACATTACAGCTTTTGAAAGCATTATCACACCAAGTAATGCGGGCGAGTTAATAGTACCATTTATTACTCTGGTTAACAAGGAAACCTCAAGGACAAGTCTACAATTCTCAAGTGACGGTAATAGAAGCAACCTATTTTGATATCTCTATCTCTAAGGGCAAACAGCAAGAATTGCTTTTGAACAGATTCAATTGAATCTACATAGCACCAACATGAAGGAGACCACACAACGGAGGCATATTAGAGTATAGATGTAACCAAACACATGTACAGCCTTTTCGTAATGTACGGATCATCAAACTCAAGCTCGTCAAAACGTCATTTTCAGAAATAACCACGTTGGGAATTGAAACCAAATTAGTTATAGGATATGGGTAGTTTGCTGATAAACCGGAATTAGAGCAATAGGCAACAGAGCCATTAAAAGAAACAAATGAAAGATTTATGGAGATTTTTCTCTTGAAATTAACAAACTTAAAAAAGTATTTGGGATTAGCAAACAGAGAGGATTTAATGAACTAAAGGTATCTGCAATAATATTGTTGGTTGAGGGAGTTGAATATTTGCCTTGCCGCCGAGTAACCGAAATAGGCGAAAGCAGAGCCACTTTTTAAATATTTTTTGAAAAGCGTGTTTTTTCTATTCTTGTAATATTTAATTGTCTTATTAAACGACGCCGAACAGCTGCTTCGAGGTCGACTAGATTTAATATATTATAGAACGATGACAGGAAGCTTTCAATATTTCCAGTTGGAAAATCAAGCATAATATATGAAAGATGTGATTACAGCATTGAAACCTTGATTTTATGGACATCATAAAATTTATTTGAAAAGTTGAATTTGGAACGTTACAGAAGTTCAACAATCATGCCTGTAATGAAAGAAAATATTTATTGCTGGATGATAAGGATCCTGAGGTAAACTAAAGGGAAGACAGCAATTAACGCAAATCTCAGGAAAATTGGCAAAGCAAATGTGTCCAGCTTGGCGATCAGCGTTCACACTCCAACAGCCAGGGGGCGAGGACGATTTACTATTCTCGTTATTAGTTTTGGGCGATGACGCGTGAGTAGATTGAGTGACGCCAATGAGATATCGTTGTCACTTCATCATAGCTCAAACCAGAGGGACTTTCCTGCTTAATTGTAACTTTTTTGTTACCGACCGACTCAACAGTAGCAGAAACGCTAACGTTCTTTGCAGACTTTGAGGACACATTAACTTGTAACAACGAATCAGACTTTGGAGGACTCAGAGTCTTAATTATTTCAAATTTCTCCCACAATGAGCCGAGATTTTTTTCGTCTCTGTGAAGGGATTGTAGAAGTCTATGTCTCGCTTTCTACAGTCAGGACATGACCATCGTAAGCCTTTTGAGGGGTGCATCAGCAGTACGGCCGATAATACCAGCACACTTTGCATAACAAAAACGATCACACAGCCAGCACGAGATGAATCGTTCAGATTCAGGGCCTGTTTTCGCACGACATGACGTAAATAATCAATCCATGTCGAGTGAAAACAAAAGGAGCTTATAAAGAAAAAAAAGAACAAAAAGCTAAAAGATTCCACGACACAAATTTTCAGCAAATTAAAGCTAACTTCTCACTTTCGTTGCCACTGTAAAAATAGAGCGAAAGCCAAACAAACTGTAAACAAAGATTAATAAAAAAAAAAAGAGACTTTTTATTGCACAAAACCAAAATGAATTTTTCACATAAAAGATTAATACATCATATAAGTTCATTTACACGCTTTATTCTTTTTATACTTTAGACACGAATAAAGCCTAAAAGCTAAGAAATACACTAACAATTTGAAATATTTCTTGCACAGAGTTAAAACGCAACTATAACACGCACGCAGAGCTGCCAAGCTGACTGAATGAATGAATGTAGGCATGAGCGAATGAGATAATGAATTAATGATTGCATGAATGAAGGTATGGCTGAGTGTATAAATGAATGAGTGAATGAATAAATGTATGAATAAATGAATGTACGAATGAAGAAATTAATGAATGAATGAATGAAGCTATGAATCAATGTATGAATGTGTGAATGTATGATTGAATGAATGAACGAGGAAAGACAATAATGAATGTGTAAATGGACGAATGAATGAATTAATGAAGGTATGAACGAATGTATGAAAAATGAATGAACGAAGGTGTGAACGAATGAATGAATGAGTGAGTAGGAAAGTAAGTAGGCGATGTGTTCTTTTTTTTTTGAAAAAG